CCGACATTCGAAAAGGGTTTAAAATTTCATATTGGAAAGGAAAGAAGGTGGTAGAGAAGGGTGGTGACTTTGAAAATAATCCAATATCATAGCAAACAGCAAGCTCGTTTCCAATATCGAGTGGACAAAGTAGAAAAGAAAAAAGAAGAAGAAGAACAGAGTGGGAAAGAAGAAAGGGGAACACGTGTGTCCGCGTGTGGTCTGGCAGTGTGGCCTAAAATTTCAATTTCCACCCGACAACAACATGCAGAGAGGGCAAGCTCGATCGACGTCCGGCATTTTCAGCTTACCTCATCTGAAAGGCAAGGAACAGGCTGGGACAAAGTGACAAGGTGGGTATTACTAGCTTCGGTTCCTAGATTCCCCGTTAAACTGTAAATCGTTCAAGTAGATATAGCTAGGCTAGTCGTGGAAGATCGTATAAGGTGTCGGCTGAATCTGGCAAGTCGTTTATCAAAGAAATATGACTTTCCGATTCTCTCTTCCCTGGGCCTGTCATCCCTTCGGAGCCCAGAACATAAATAAAAATCGGGAAATGCGAGTCCAATTTACTTTTTGATGCTGTGAGAAACACTATAATAATTATTATATTTGTAATAATAATTTTACGCATACCTCATGAGTATACTTGGTAAAATTAATTATGATTTAGAATAGAACGTTAGTTGTCATAAAACGTTATAAAATTTGGTCCCATTCATCTTTTGTCACACGACACTGCATGATTGCAGACTCCCACGTTTTGTTGTTGACATAATAATTAATTTCTTACTGATTATAAACTCGTCGCTTTGTATTAAAAACTTAATTTTGCCTCGCCAATCAATAACATTGAATATCAATGCTAGAGATCTCTACTGATTTTAAACAACAGATCGTGCGACAAAAAGTTACAGAAACGAAATTTTAAATCGCTGGAAATTCAGCAGAAAAGAATTATTAGAAACGAAAGTAAGTTTCTGCTTTCCTTTTCCCTTTCCTCTCCCTTTGCTACCCCTTCCCCCCACCCCACCCCACCAAAAAGAGATTAATATCTTCACCAAGTCGAATCCCCGGAGGATCTGCATTTCATAAACCCAAGGAATAATAAAAATACAGCGCACGCGTGGCAAACGTACGAATGTATTCAAGACTGTCGAAAAACGGAACGATGATAAATTACGAGTGCATTCACGTGACGTAAGCTTTGGTTCAATTTTTACGGGCGAAAATCCGAAAGACTCTTTCCTCCAGTTTTGTTCGTGTGTTCTGACGCGCGTCGTAATATCGTGTCGCGTGTACGTTCTTGCCCTGCAACTACCACCTTCGAGGAAATGTGTTCCCCGGGAACTTTTCGACGAAATTCTCCTCGCTTAACCCGTGAACGTTACAAGTTTTTCTCTCAAGTTTACTCTTGAAAAGAATTAAATTCTTTCTGTAACAGAAAACAACTAACAATGGAAACGTATCTTTCATGAAACGTAGGATGTTCGAGCACTGATTTTAAGACACACAATATCGCGTTGACTATCAAGAGACTGTTCCTTCGACTCTAACGCAATGTTGCTGTCAGATTATCGAATAACGAGGCGATCTGTATCGATTGGAGGTCAAACGATTTCGTCCCAGCAAGTCAATCGTTTCTTACCAATGTCAGATGAGTTTCTTTACCATACGCTGTCTGTACTTTGGAGTCAGACGATTTCTCCACTAAACTGGAGCAGATGGAAAATTGGGAAAGACTGCTTCGTTTCCCTTTCCATCGGCTTCGAAAATTTCTGGGCCTCAAAGTGAAGATAAATCATTGATATCATTCGTCAATTTCGAGCAGAGGATGCCACGCGTAGCACGCTCTGTACGCCATTGAGATGTGTTCGAATAATCAGATCCTCCAGTTTTCAAGGCTTCAATCCTCTTGCTAGATTTTCTCTTCAAAAGTAACATGAGTCCCCCGGCTATAAATCAGGGTACGGGAAATGTATTTTTGTTTATTTGAAAAAATATATGTTTACTCAATTTTTATGTTGCATGTCTTATGAGATATTTATGATAATCTTTTCTCCAGTCTCTGAACTAGAACTCGAAATGATTAATTGATAATCATTTAGAGATAGATTTACAATGTTGGGTTTTTTACAGATTCGAATTTTTGTAAAGTAATATGAATAAAAGTTTGTGTACTTTATTATTACTGTAAACTTTCTCCTATTTCTTGCGTTATAATTTCTATACTTTAATCGTCGGCTGTTCTACACACATAGTTAATACATTTCTGGAATGCACTTGCCTATTATTATATTACGTAATTACATATCTATAATTTATTGTTATATTTATGTCATTAATAATATCATTAATTTTATTTTATGCCACGAATCTTCTCTGTTCTTTGGAAGAAGAAATTACAGATTGCAATGTCTGACGAATTTTCAATAAAACATTCTCGAACAAATAAAGACATATGAGCATTATTCTGATGCAAATCAGAAGCAATCAGAAAATTATCGAATCCACTAAGTTACGAATCAATTGATTGACTAATCATATCTGAATTATGCATTCAATCTGAGTATAAATTGTAAAATTGACGGTCAACGATATATTTGCCAATAACACGAAACAATAATTTTTCAATCGGACATTTCTAAAACGAGAAAATTGCTCAAACTTTTTGGCCGAATCCCGTATTTTTAATTTATAAATATCAATACATAAAGCAATCGTTTAAACTAAAAACAATTTACACTGCCGCTCGTAAATGTGTATTAACAATACATCCTATTGAAATAATTTAATACATGGAAATGGAAAATATGCTGCAGTTTTTCAAGCATTTATAGAAAATTTCAAAATGCAGAATTTCCAAACAATGTTTTCTATTGCATTTATTATATAAAATAATTTTCCACCAGGTTTCTATTTTATTAATACTCTCGAAGCTATTAATTAAGAAATAAAATCATTAAAGCTAAAAATGTGGAGATTATTTATTCAAATATTGTAATAAAGAGTATTTTAATATTGGAATTAATAATGGAAATATATTAATGTTCAAAAATAATATCTACTGTTTGCTGTCGAAATCATATTTTAAATCAGATTCATTTGAATGAAATATTTAAAAAATAATTATCTAATAATTAACTATTTAAATAATAATTAAACTATTTAGATAATACAATCATCTTATTTGACTCGATATTATTTTGAAGTTTAGTTGAATAGGCAAATAATTTTTGTCGAAATTATTTCATTGTTTGGTTGTCAAGTAAAATAATTTTTTATTTCCTATAAATTATTTTTCAAATAGTTTTTGATTCCATTGTATGAATTTCATCTTCTGCAATTTTAGAAAATTTAAAATATGTATCATCTTGAGCAATCTTCCTTGAAACTCAAATTTTTATTTAAATTCTATTTCTTTAATTACGTTCCTAAAGGTATGAAATTGCACAGACATCCGCAGTTTTTTTTTTCAAATAAAAGATTATTCTCAAATGTATATGTTTAATTTGTGCGCAAAATGAAGTTACCTTCTCCGTGTTATTTCCAAAATAAAAATAATAAATTGGTAGAAATGATTCACTGCCTCGAACCGATAATTTTTATCTGCATCTCGAATAAAATTTGACCCAACCGTGTCGCACATCATACGAAAGAATTAAAATTAAAATTAAAAATTTTACGTATATACGTTGTTTAAATATTGAACGAGGCTTGTATCCTGGGCTTACGCTGTTAAAAGCTGCAGAAGTCCGATTTAAAATATATGTTAAAATATCAAGCACCTAAGCCATCGAAGTGCCACCCAGTCGAGCTGAGTTTTTCTCGTCGATAATTCGATTCAAAAGTAATCAATCCCTCGGTGAACTTGGATTCCATGAAAGAATCCAAGTTATCGGATAAAGCGCAACGTGACACTGCAATTTTCGCACTTTGTTATTGCGCTTCGTTCCGAA